TGGTTTATGGGGGTTTTTCCACATAATTTGTTAATGATTATCAAATGACATATCAAAGAACAGACTTAAAGTAGGAAAATGGCCTTGTGTGCTTGCTGTATTGTCTCATTTGCTCATCTGCTCCCTAATCTCCTCAGAGAATTTGTAGTTCTGGTGTTACTAGTACACTTCTGTATAATTTAATTAAAATATATAAATATTACTCTAGATATTGTAGGAAGAAAATGAAACAAAACTTTCTAATGGCCTTTTCCTTGGTGCCTCAGGTTTAGATTTAATTTGGATTCTATACGTTTGGGGTACACTCTTTGCCCACTGTTAAGTAAGCTAATAAGTAAGGATGAGCTGTTCTATTTCTGCAAAAACTGAGGTAGGCAACTTAGTATCTCAGAAATTAAGACTGGTGAGTTCATATGAGGAAGCTGTTGTCACTGTGTTGTTGTTCTGTAGCATCATTTAAAGATAAACCATTTTTTCCAGTATATTTTCAGCATTGAATCTCTATCTGGTAAAAGTGACATAAATAAATTATAGCTAATTATATTACCTGAAGATGTGGTACTCAAATTTGCACATTTACATTAAAAGCAGCTAAATTCTAGCCTACAGAAACCTGTGGTGGCCAGTATGCAGAAGGTTTAGTCAGAATTAATAAAGATGTTTAAACCTCCAAGCATTTTTCCACTACACTGCCACCATCAAAGATTTATGAATGCGACAACACCTCAGACACAGTTTGGCAAACAGACACAGATGGCATAATTTAGGAAACAAACACAAAATATTTTGGAGCCTTGCTAATGGTGTTTATTTAGATTTTTATGTATGCTGTAAACTAGTCGATATACATTTGTGGTGAAAACTATCTTGTGTATTTCCTACTAGATGCTGATGTGTATGTTTATATCAGCTTTTGTTGAAAATAAATACCAGTCCATTTTAATGAGTAAGTAGCTGTGGCAGACATCTTTGATGTCAGCTATGAAGTGCCAAGATATCAATGGTAGTCTGGGTAGTTCAGCTCAACTCTCAGTATGAAATACTTGGAATTCAAGTTTTACATGGCTGATACCTTATTTTTTAGATCACTCAAATCTAAGATTAAGAGCATTAAGTTTCCTTTACTTTTGAAATGGTGCTGGTCAGTAGTATTAGCCATTGTAAAAGAAACTGTGTGAGATAAAACAAAAAGTTTCATCCCACCACTGGCTAAATTTGAAATTTTGCCTGATACCTAGCTAAATCAGTGATTGAGTGACTGGATTAAATTCTACGTTTATGAAGTGACAGACTGAAGATGTGGAAACAAAGTTATTTCAATGCATATATCGTGGGAAGACTTGGGACAGCTCAAACAGTTTCTGTATTATGGCATATATGTCTGTTCTGTATGAAATTCCATTTGGCGATACTTCAGGGTGTTTAGAGGGCCAGGAATCTTTTCTTTAACCTTTTAATAACAGAATCTGACTAAAATTAGTTAATTAAAAGCCAAGTCAAGCATCTCTTGAGCTACTGAACATTCCTCCCTGCCAAATGACAGATAACAGCAAATGTAGAGTCTAGGTGGTAGTCACAAAATAGAAAAGGGGAAAGTAGACTTGGCAGTGTAGGTGTGAGATTGTCTTCAACATATGTTGGAGAAATTTCTTAGAGATCTCTTTGCATGGGCTGACTGTGAAGTGTGGCAAATGGCTTTTACTGGCTTCTAGTGATGAATTAAAATGCACTTCTCCCTTGGGTGAACATTCCTTCTCTTCAAGCATGTGCAAGAAAAGGTGGCTTAGGTTTATCTGTGGGTTTTTCTTCTGTGTGCAGTTAGTTAGCATCTGCGCATCATTGTTTTGCTTTACATGAGCTGCAAATTGTGCTGTGTGATTCAGTGGACACACCTGCCACAAAGTGCTCTTGCTGCCAAACTCCTGTGCCAGTTGAACAGATTGCTTATATTATGGGAGCATGATATAAATTGTCCTGAGTGTCTTTTAAGGTTTTACTAGGGGGTTTTTTTTAAGTCAGTGTAAGAAAGGAAATGTCCACTCTACTGGTAAACCTGAGGGGGAAAGAATTTGATTCCTGTTGCTTAACCAGTGCTGGCAGCCAAATCCCACACAGCCTCTCACTTACTCCCCCATGGTGAATCAGAAGGGTAAGAGAAAGAAAACTCATGGATTGAGATAAGGGCAGTTAAACAGGTAAAGCTGTGCACACAAGCAAAGGAAAACAAGGATTTCATTCACCACTTCCCATGGGCAGGCAGGTGCTCAGCCATCCCCAGGTAAGCAGGGCTGCATCATGAGAAACAATGACTTGGGAAGTGAAACACCATCACTCCCAACATCCCCACTTCCTTCTTCTCCCCACAGCTCTATGTGCTGAGCATGATGCTCTATGTGTTGAGCATGACCCCAACTGACCCAAGGGATATGGAATATCCCTTGGATCAGTTGGGGTCAGCTGTCCTGGCAGTGTCCCTCCCAACTTCTTGTGCACCCTGAGCCTACTCACCTAGGTAGGGACAACATGTGAAGTGGAAAAGTCCTTGGCTGTGTGTAAACTCTGCTCAGCAATAGCAAAAACATCTCTGCATTATCAACTCTGTTTTTAGTGCAAATCCAAAACATAGCCCTATACTAGCCACTGTGAAGAAAATTAACTCTATCCCAGGCAAAACTAGCACAATTCTATAATAATCTATCTGAATAATAATTTGTGCTGAAAACAAGACTGGAGCTCCATGAGCTCTTTTAGGCATGGATACTGCTCTCTAGTATCCAGAAAGCACTGTAAAAGTTTTAAAATCTCTGCGTGGAGGGGTTGTTTAAGTGGTGGTATTATCTGTTAATTTTTGTCAGGAACATGTTCCTATCTCTGAGGGAAAATAAAGTTTCCTTCACAAACATTATAATCTCTCTCAGTATGGTTAGTTTCTCATAGACTCTTTTGAAAGGCATTCAAAATGTTATCTGAGTATATTCAGCTTCTCTCTCTGCGTTGTTAATGCTATCTACCCACAACCATTTCTACAGCATCTTTCTAAGTTGACTCCTGATTGCATGTATCTTTTTTAACCAAAACTTTCATTCAAATGCAGGAGTCTTTTTTTTATTATTATTATTAATACATAAAATCCACAGCAGCTGGAAAGGATTGTTGAGAAGATTCACCAACATTAATATATCATGAAAAAAAACTTCTTTTGGGCAAGGAGCAATTGTCCTGGACCCCAGAATGGTAGTGCTACAGCTTTGAGGGTTTACAGCTATCATTAGGCAGTGGTGCAGCCCAGAGAGTGCCAGTATAGGATGAGTGGAGTGTCCAAGGTGAAAAAAGTAATTTATTCAAAACTTGCAGCAAAGTATTTAACTGATTCCTGGAAAGTTTTAAGGTACAGTGTGGTGCAGTCATAATTGTAATATCCTAAAGCCATTGGAACTGCACAAGCCAACTGAAATTGGGTTGAAAGCCTTCCTGAAACATCATTCAAACAATGCAAGATAAGTGTCAAATATTTTCTGTTGCACCTTACACCTCAGTCTCAGGTGAGCGTTCCACATGTGATTGCCATAAAGATGCAATGAAACAGAAATTCAAGTAAGATTGTATTACTTATGAGGTTTTCTTGCTAGTCAAAGTTGACTAATAGTTGTGCTATGTGTGTTTTTTGAGACTTCAGTGTAACTGACTATCTACTTCCTTATCACTTGACAGTAGTTAATACATTTTCAGTCTGCTTCAGCAGTAGACATAGTGGCTCTATTACAGGACTTTGAGATTTCTTTTTAAATTTATCCTGTTAAAAGCCTTTGACAAAGATAAAAATGCCTTTTCGTTTTTTTCCACAGGATACTATGGTGATGGTCTGAATGCCATCATTGTGTTTGCAGCGTGCTTCTTGCCAGACAGCAGTCGAACTGATTACAACTATGTCATGGAAAACCTTTTCCTGTGAGTGATATGTGCGCAATGTGACAGAGTCTTTTGAGTTAGTACTCATAATTATGCAGTGGGAGATAACCTGTCTTTACTTAAGAGGTAATTTTGGTCATTAGAAGTGGAGTGGTCTGAATGGCAAGGAAAATAGCAGTTTCAGATAAACTGCTCCATAGAGTATTATTTTAGTATTCTTTACCTGCTCACCCTTACAAATTAAGGCATATTTGTCAGGACTGAATCTGACTGTAGTATCTCCCTAAATGTTAAAAAATGCAGTATCTTCAGCTTCTTGGGGCTACAATCTTTGCAGTGTGTCACTAGTGGTTTCCAGGTCTCGCTGAGAACAATCAGCAGGGACTTAGGTCACCAGATTGTTTTTCACTGTTCATTATGTATGATTGTGATGTATCACTATATATTTCTAATATATGCTGTGCTGTATTGAGGAACCACAGGGCCATTTTTTGACACTTAAAGTACAGGATAAATGGCAGTTGATGACACAAACAGCTCTAAGTAGGTTTCCTGACTCCAGCTGCTTCTGAATCAGCTAGAAGTGCCAGGGACTAGTTGAGCAGGACACAAATTTGGCCACATAAGCCCAAATGTATCACAGGAAAATTACTGCTAATAGCAATTTGGTTTGGCAGTCAAAAATTGTGAAGGCAGCACTCCCCTGAAGTGCCTCCAGCACTTCCACTTACAGCTGTTAAAAAATCTGTCATTCCTGTGTTTTCTGTGCTAAAACCCACTAAGTCATTTCTAAAGCTGGTGCCATTTGCAGCTTACAGGGCACCGAGAGCAGAGACCAAATTTTTCCTAAAATTCCAGTCCTTGAAGGTGCACTTGGAGACAACCAATGCCTTCAACAAGAAAAACAAGATTGAGTGCTTTAGTTCCTGGTCAGAAAAAATTCTATCATTCCTCTGGTAGAGCCTCTAAGAACCCTATGTCATCTGCAGTAACTGATATACACGATGACAGTGATTTAGAAGGGAGGAATTACTACAGTGGATTTAACTTGATAAGTAGGGAATAAACCTGAAAGTAACCATGACTGACATTCAACAGTTGTTCTTTGCCTTCACTCAAGGCCCTTGTTCAGATAGAGCTGGTGGTAAATGGACTTTACAGAGAAAGTCTTAAGAGTCTTTTCCACATGGCTTGAGGATATTGCCAAAGACAATTTCATAACTCACTTTTTCTAGAGGCATAAGGGAGGTTCAGGCTGGCTGTGAATCTTCAGCTTATTTTAAGACTTCTAGACTCTTGATTCTCTCTAAGGCAACAAGAAAAGGGACAGTTAGTTCACTGCTTTCTTTCAGTTATCAGCCTATTAACTGAAGGAGTGCAACAGTTTACGAAATATCCAATAACTGATATATTTAAATATTAATTCTTTACTAGTGAATTATATAGGGACCTGGAGAGATCTGCAGATCACCAAATCTCTTCATTTTTTTATACATCATGTTTCTGATAATCATGTACATGCAGGATACACCTCAAGTTTCTGATTTACAACTGTCCTTAATTGTTCCTGAGTTTTGCAGTTACTTTACCATCTGGATTCCTTTCTCATTTCCAGTTATCTTGTTACTATTTGTTATCTTGGCTAATCCTGTAAAACTGTCTTTGAAGGGTGGAGTTTGGGTCAAAATTCTTGAGACAACATCTTCTATGGCAGTCCTTGATAATGCAGAACCTGAGAAAATTCTGCTGTTTCATTTGTGACTGCCTGATACAGTCTACAGATGAAAAACTTTTTAAGAGAAAAAAAGCCTTGAAAAACTACACATTAAAAAACAAACCCGCACCTTGCTTTCAGAGCGAGCAAATTGTTCTATTCAGTGAGAAAAATTCTGTCTTTTCAAATAATAAAGGAATTACCATTATTACCAAATATTAAGAAATTACTAAACAGGTAAGGTTTGCAAGGGAGCTCAGCATCCTAAAAATGGCAAATTAGCTAATTTGACCTACTTTCAACAAGAACTGTTGAATGAAAGTATGCGAGGTAAGAGATCTGACTAAAAATCTAGTTGGAATTCATTTTTGTCATAATAGACCTCTTATTCCCAGTGAGAAATATGCATGATTGTTCTTGTTATAACTGATTACTCATAATATTCACTTTGCACTTAGTAAACACAGACATTTTTCAGACTGTCTGTTTCTGTAACTGAAAGGCTTGTAGTGTTTTATTAAGTACTTACGCACTTCTGTATGTTACAGTGTCTAAGTGCCTTTAAAGCACTGTATGTTGTGCCTTATGGGAAGGGCTAATTTCATAACCTGTTAAATCGTAGGTTCAGTTAAATTAAGCTTTGTGTATCAGAGTGTACATTCAGTCCCTTGCTTTGCTATTTCACTCTTAGACATGAGCCTTTACATATGTCAGACAGAAGTAAAAGCAGGGAATGTACAACTGCAGGGTAAGAAAGAGCAGTGAAATTCATTGAGTGAGTAGTGATTTAGATCAAATTCACAGAACTGGTCTAGCTAATGGCTGCCTACTTCATGCCCAGGTAAAATATCATTCTCTTTGGTGAGAACTAGGTTTCCTACTATTCTTTTGAAGACATTGCATCCTAAGGAATTTAAGGGTCAGATTAGACTGTGAGGCATTCTCATACACCTGTGAAAGAGACCATTATGCTCAGGCTTAGAGCTGCCTTTTGTAATGAGTACACTCAGGCATTCAGGTTTTTAAGGTGTGACTTGTGGTTTTTCCGTTCTAGTTTTTACATAGGCATGCCTTGAGGCTGGATAGTAGAAAGAATAATTTGAACATTCCTGTGATGATCAGCTCCCAAATGAGATAGGGACTACTGAGTGGAGCAGCTGCATATGTAGTCCCAGACAAGAATTTAAAGCTATCCTCTTATTTGACTGATCAGTGTACTCTTTTAGGTAGAATGAATTTGGCCCCAAGAGCACTGTGTGTTAGTGAGTATTTGGAGTGTTTTGCTCCAAAAATGAAGTGATGTCATCGAGTGCATCTGTCCCATCAGTCAGATTGTTGTTTCCAAGTGTTTGTAGTTGGCAGTCACAGACTCAGTAGCAGCAGTGTGAGGATCACAAGAATTATGAACAATTTTTATCTCTGCATTGAGCAATCTTGATGCTTAATAGTGAAGTTTCTTGACAGTTTCAGAAGTTCCTAGGGCTTCATATGGTCCTCCCATGCCCTCCCTTGCAAAATCTCACGATTTAATGGTTTTTAAGAAAAAGCAAAGTCACCAATGAGATTTGAAAATTTGCTCTGAACCTGTATTTTTGTAAGGAAACCGCATATTTTTGAAGACAAAGGTAAGACTGTGGGTTTCTAGTTACACATCTGCGGGTACCATGGTGACCAGTGCTAAATGTTTGCTTTGATTTAAAGAAAAAGAAAAGCCTGTTTTGCCATAAATTGCTTAGTCTGCCTTGATTCATTCTTAGTAGACTGATTTAGTTTGCACTTAAGCAGATTACATACAGTATGTGCTCACTGACTTGTGTACTATTATCAGCTATGTGATCAGTACCTTAGAGCTGATGGTAGCTGAAGACTATATGATTGTCTACTTGAATGGAGCAACACCAAGAAGGAGGATGCCTGGATTGGGTTGGATGAAAAAATGTTACCAGATGATTGATCGACGGTGAGTAACATTTTTCTTTCTGACCCACAGCCATTATTTTAAACACTGTCCATTTCTGTTACTCCTTTGTATGGCAGTGTTCACTGTATATGATCTTTCTGTATATTTTGAGGCTTTGGGGGGGGTTTCTGTGGTGTTTTTTTTTTTTAAAAGAAACCTTTTCTTTTTTACTTAGATTGCGGAAGAATTTGAAATCATTTATAATTGTTCATCCATCATGGTTTATCAGGACAATTCTGGCTGTGACACGACCTTTTATAAGGTATGTAGTGCATACCAGTGGTTTTCTATGTCCCTAAGAATTCATAATCACCCTAGATCATCAAACATGGCTGTTAATCTTTTACTGAACAGCGCTCGTTTTATAGCTTATATTGGGATTTTAGTAGGTGAAGCTGACTTTCCTGAAGTGAGTGGAGAATAAAAAATGTGATTTAGATAGCATCTAATCGCAGGCATTATAGGCAAGGATTTGTAAACCTGTAATGTGTATGTAGAATGGGGAATTCAACCCCCTAAAATTGTTTTTGTTCAGAGCCCAGCTAAAAGACAAGAAAAGGGGACTGCATGTAATGCTAATCACCCTATTTAAATAATCATGACTGCAGGACAAGATTAAGCTACAATTCTGGGGTTTTAAAACAGCAGTTGCTGCTCAGACAAGAGGACTGTCTGCACCCTGAGTTGTTTGAATGCATAGAAGTTGCTGTTCCAAAAGAGGTTTCATACCATCAGAATTAATGCTTGGATTAGTGAAAAAAGAAAAAAATGTGTTACAGACTTTGATGAAAGGCTAGGTAAACTTAAACCTATGATTAATGAAACAACTTTGAACTGGAGCTGCGGTGGAGACGTTGTAACTGATCTTAGCTATACTTGTAACCTTGTTGCACTGGTAAGTTTCTGTTCAAGGCCTGTCTGCTACTCTTAGAAAAGCTAAGCCCTGAGGAATTTGTAATGTATGAGCAAGTGAAGATACACTGCAACTCTCAGTGTCTCTGCACACTGAGAAGATAAATAAGTGAAGGTCAAAGATGAAGAAGGTAAGTGCAAAGTCAAAAGGGACTGATAAGAAGTTCCCTCCCAAAGCTGATATGCCAACCTCTGTTAGAACTTGCCCTGAGGTTTGGAAAGATGATCAGAAGTGTTCACATGTGCCCAACAGGAGAGGTCATCCAGCAGACAAATGATGAAGACTCTGGAATGACCACCCGGGGTCACAGAGGACCCTTGATGACTACCACCTCAATTAACTGTGCAGGTGCTAGGAGGTTGGGGATATTATAATTATTTCTAAGAATTCATTGGCATATATACATGAGTTCCTGGAAATCTAATGAATATGCATGATTTGTAAAAACCAAAGCTGTCCCGTTTGGAGCCAGGGGTGCAGGTAGGAGGCAAGATCACACACACACCTGGTGTGATCATTAAAGGATTGCTGCTTAACAGTGTCATGGTGTTGGGTCAATTTCTTTGAATCATTGAAGAACTCAGAAGTTGCTGAAGATAATAGGCAAGTATGCAGTTAAGATCTTGAGATCAGGGGGAGCAGAATGAGGGGTGTGAGGAGTTGCTTCAGGCAAAAAAAGCAGCACTGTCTGCTGCTGATGCCACACTGCAAATAACACACATCGTGACAGAGTGCCCTGCTCCCAGACTGCAGGCAAAGACACAGGGTATATCAGTTGTAGGATGCTCTGTCAGGACAGGGTGACAGTGGGATGGGGAAGCACATGTGTTTTCCCATCACTGCCAAAGTGCAACAGGCAGTGTCATAATGGAGCATCTTCTTTCAGGTATAGTGTCTTTAATACCAAGTAGAAAGTGACAATTCAAAATACCAGAGTAACAGGGAAACAACACTTGAAATTATCAACAGTAATTACGAGCATTCACTGAGTTGCCTTTGTCTGAGAGATTTCTGTTGCCATGCTATTTATTTCCAGAAATTAAGTCAACAGTAAAATTTATTTTTTTAAAAAACAATGTCTGTTTCAATTCAGTAGTCATTTATTCAAAATGACTATACTAAGCAGCAGTGACTAGAGGTTTCGCATTGCCAAACAAGAGAAAATGTTAGCTCTAAGTAGTTTGGCAGAACAAACTAGTGTACCAAATTAGACACACTAGGGACCAGTTAAAACTCCCCTTTTCAGCCAAGTAGATTGAATGTCTGTCCAAGAAGAAAGTGAAGTACAAATGTGGGCTGAAAAAAGTGGGCAGGATACATGGCCAGTGTGACTTTTGCGGAAGATGACATGAGATATTTGAACCCTTACCAAGGACAGAAGAACATTATGAGAAAGCTTAGTAAATAACTCTGGGAGGCATGAGACAAGACTGTCTATTCAGTAACAAGCAATGTAAGGAAACAGAAACTTGATTTGATTGAAGACTGATGGCTGTAGCTCAGTTTGCTAGCCCCAAGCTGTTCACCAAAGCACTGAGAGACACAGTAGGAGTTTTAGAGTAAGAAATGTATTAGTCACAAGGCAAGCAGATTTCAATGAGATAGCTGAAGGTGAGCAACATAATTTAATTGCATTTCAGCTGAGAAGCAGGACAAAACAGTGTAAGTCAAGAACCTGAAAAACAGTGGACTGGCAAGGGACAGTCAAGTCTCTGAGGGTATGCTACCCTCAATTCTACCTCAAAAACTGTCAAGAAAATTCGATGGAGTCTGGGACTCCTCTTGACTGACAAACAGTTGTTTGAATACACAGAATGAAATAACTAGAGGTTGCAGAGAGAGATCCTACATGCTTTTTAAGGACCAGATATTCACAGCAGAGATCACTTCAACTGTGGTAGGTAAGAAACTAGATTTCTAATAAAACAAGTGTCTGTGACACATATTTGGCATTTAATGGTATTATTTAAATAATTGGAAGTTACCAGTATTGACAGCACACTTTCCCTAAAGTCAAAAAGAAACAAGGACTGATTTTGATCATGTATTTGAGGCACCCATACACTGACTGCCACATAAAGAAATTACTTAGAAATAGTCACTGTCCACTGTAGCAGAATTAGTGGACCCAGAAGAATCCTCAAGAGAAAAAACTAACCTTTTAAAGATTATTTTTTTTATCCCCTCCCCATCTTTATAGGTTCCTGATTGGCTTGCAACTTGCCAAGCTACTTTAGCTGGCAGTTCTGATTCCACAGGCTATGATTAACATATTGGATAAAATGCTAAGAATTATCTGTATGTTACCATGCTTTGGCTGGACAATTGTGAGTGATTAGGCTGCTCCAGTGTGTGCCAATTGATGCTAATCTAGTACAGAGACAAATTAAAATGGATAGGCTTAAATGTTTAAGTGTTCACAGCACCTTTATGTATTCATGTTTCAGTTGTCTTGCTTTCTCTTGTTGGGAAGACATGTATGGCAAGGGGAGGGACAATAACTGCTCAGAGCTATTTCAGAAGCTTTATGTTGTCTAGTTATCACCACATATCAGCAGTAAACAGAATATATTCTGGTTTTCATGACCTACATTTAGCATTTATGGTCAGTGTGAGTTTGTCACTGTTGCTGATGTTGAAAGGTTACCTAAATACAACCAGAGCTAAATTTGAAAAAGTGCTTTATAAGTCAAATGAGAAAGATAGGTAGATTTCTCATAATTTCAAATATATCAAATGAGGTAGACAAGTGAATAGCCTTATGTTTAGTTGTGTTTTCTGAACAACTTAGCCTTTTACCAAGGGATTATTTTACAAGCACAATAAATGATCATATAGGACAGCTGAAATAAGCTATTTCTTCATCAGGAGGTCCTGCAGTAAGAATAGATGTACACATACACAATCAGATCTGTACCCATCTGAACAAATTAGGAAGTTCCGTTTTACTGTGCTTGATTGAGAATTGGTGTAAAATAGAAATGCTAAGTCATCACGATCACTTGATAATCATCATGGTGATTATGACTGTTAAGTGAATGCTTCCCATCCAGTTTTACATCTAAGTATTCTGTAAGGGATTTGACTCTTTTCAGATTTTTAACACATTTCCATCAAATTGTAAAGCTAATCGCACTGCCTAATATGTTGGCATTACAATTCATAATGTTGTCCTAAATACTGTGCTTCAGCCTAAGGAAGGAACAGTGAAAGTTCTAGACTTGATTTCAACTGCACTAGAACTCAGGTAGGCTCATGGTGAGCTGAGTTCTGTAATTGAAACATGAATGTTAAAATGCTTAATTATTTAACACATTCAATACATGCCTCCAGTTGTTTTTAATATATCATAAAAGATTGAAGGGGTGAAGTCATTTAATATGTTTTTTTCTGTGTTTCAGCTCTAAGTTCAGCAGTAAGATACAGTATGTGAACACATTGGCAGAGCTTCGTGAGATGATTCCAATGGAATACATCCATATACCAGACAGTATTGTCAAGTAAGTGATATGCAGTAAGCATGGACTTGTTCTAATGGAAACTATTTCCACAAACTAATAATAGCATTTCAGGATCTGTAAGAAAAATGGAAAGCCCTTTCCTGATACTCTTAAAAATGTTTGTGTTGTTCCACAAGCATTTCACTGTTAAACTCAGAACCAGTGAACTGCTGCATGACAGAAATACAGAACACAATAAATAGATGCTCCTAAGGGGACCAGTGTTTATAGGAAGAGTAAGGTTTTGTAGTGAACCCAATTATATTGACAGTGAAATGAAGAAAAACTTTTGGGCTCAGAATCCCTTCATCAAAGTCCCTATGACTGTGTGAGCTGAAATAATTATCCAGCTATTTAATTGCAGCCTAGAAGGATAATAAGGAAAAAAGTTTAACTTTTCCACAAGTATCATCTAATCCTTATTTTTCCATAACTTTTACTTCTATTTCAGTAATAGTGTTTTTGAGTTTGTCATGCAGAGCTTTGAATTGAAGCAATAATTAAAAGATAGCCTGATCAATAGAAAACCACTGAAAGTCCACAGGTTCCTTATCTTGTTGATTTTTCATGGTTAAATCCAGAACCACTGAAAGACTATTTCTCAGCTCTTGGTACTTAAGTGTAGAGGTTTTTTAAATGTAGGCATTTCTAAAGGAAAGTATCTATTAACAACCTGTAGGCAGTTGATTGGTATTGCTCACCTCAACTGACTTTTTCTCAGACCTGAAAACAACAAAGTGAAAAGGTATACCAAGACTGAAAACCTGACTAAAAAACTCATGGTTTTCATATGACCATTATTTAAAAGTTCAAGAGTGCTTTTTTCTTTTTTTAATTGTTCTCTTTATCAAAGTCCTAGGTTTTGAACAGTCAAACATTCTATCTAGAAAGTAATTTAAGTAATTTGATGACTTAATACACAAATATGATTGTCTTTTCCTTAAGGTTCATCAGTGACAGTGCTTGGATCTGTCATAGTTATCCTTGACCCAGACAGGAGTTTTCATACCTGTCTCGCAGAATTTGTAAAGAAATGTAATTTCCTTCATTGAGCACATGGTGTAATTCTAGGGAGGAAGGAGGAAGCACAGTTCTGGCAATGACACTTGTAAAAGTAGTAAATTACAGTTGTGAAGTCAGGGGCCATAGAGACTTTTTCACTCAACTTCATTTGCTGCTGTGTAACTTTTTTTAGAGATGCAGTGATGGTCAGCTAATAAAGAGAAATCCATAAAGTATCACATCCCTAAATTTTTTCTCTCTCCTTCCCCCTCTTCCTCCCTTGATTCCTATAAATATTCTAATTTCTAATAGTTCCCTTTGACAGAGATGTGATAGTTGTTGTGTTTCTGTCTCTGCTTTCTTGCTGTGTCTTACTGTTGGACTGTGGCAGTATACACATCTGTGTTCTACACAATTTTTCTTCCCTGTAGGCTGAAAAGTGTATGGAAAGTCTGTTCTCCTCTCAGATCAAAGGTGAAATGATCACAACACCAGTAACAAAGAAACTTTAGTACTTAGAACTTAAGAAATTTTAGGAAACTGCCTACTTCATGTCAGCAGCAGCCAAGTGGCAGATCATGATTTTGCTGGGGGGGAAAAAAAAGAGAACTCAGAGGGTGACAATCGTGCCCATTGTTGGCAAGCATTTTCAAGATGTTGTGGTAACAACATCTAGTGGGTATGTACATTCAAGACACTTGTGAGTGGTTATTCCCATAGCAAAGGGAGAAGGAAGAGCAGTTTTCAGCTGATAGCTTTGCTTCTGCTGTGAATTGAGAAAGGTTCCTGTAGCAAAATATAGTTCATCTTTTGGCTTCATAATTGTTCCACTGGCAAGAGCAGATATACCACCTGTGGTCAAGAGGAATCCCACCTGTAGAAAGTACCCAGAGTTATGCCAGGATTTTGGGTGTGTGTTTTTGCTGAAGTGAGATACACTGTGCGTGTTGTATCATATGAAATTTTACATCTTTTCTCTTCCTTCACCCACTCTTATCTTGTAAGGTATGATGAAGAGAAGTGTATTAAGAGAAGAATGAGGTAAAACTTGCTTTCTAGCCCATGCTGCTGCTCATAATGGAGTGAATCTGTGTGACAGCCTTTCACCTGCAGGCGACCTCAACAGCTGAACGAGAGAGGACTTGCAATGATGTGGAATCTTACTTTCCCCTTCAAGCTGTTGAGATCAGCCTCCCTTGCAAATAAAACTCACTGAACTGTAAACGTCCTTGACTTGGCCCAGGCTGCAGCTAGTTTAATACTATCTGATAGAGCAACTGAATGCTTTCAGCTCTGTCCACTGGGCATGCCTCAGACCCCTGCTGCTTCTCTCTCTGCCTCCACATGAGCTAAATAAGGACTTACAAATTTAAGGTGGGTTGAGCACAGGAATAAATGGTATCATACTGAACTGAAGAGCTTTAGGGTCAGTGTGCCCTAAATGATACTGGGTGCCTCTTTTAGAAGCATGTACTGTATTTGTTCTTTGCTCTGCTATTGCTCTGCTTCTCTCTTATGCTCTGCTTGCTTCTTTGTTTCTTTATATCAATAACTTTTACTCATGCAGACTGGATGAAGAGCTGAGGGAAGCTTCAGAAACAGCTAAGTAAGATAGCTTTCAGCTGGATGCTGGCATTATGTTTACTTGTTTCACAGGAATAACTTGAATGCAGTAGTATGTTGTGTTTGGTACAACAATCGACTTGTAGTTTCAATTACGGTATAAGTTGCCACATTTGTGAATTGACTTCCCCTCTCACTAAAAGCAGCCTGCTTTTGTATTGCTGGTCTCAGTGAGAAATGATCATACCCTTACACTAAAAAACCCACCGGTTTTGCTGGTTTTTGATGATTCTTTCTATAGTCATGGGGAGGACTGAAATTGCTTCTCTACTCCACTAAACATTTTCTACACTTCATCTATTACATCAGATGATTCATACAGTCTTTAAGGTAGTTATTTTTAAATTTATTTTTTTTTTTTACAATTTACTAAATTAAGGCTACCTATCGTACCTTATTTTCAGTTAAGGTAGGTAAGTAAATTCTCCTGTCCTTCCAGTGGTGACTGGATAGGCCAAGGAATTAATACCTGAAAATAATATTGTTTATGGTCACTTAATAAATCAGTGTCAGCTGATGGTCAGATACTTTAAATTCATAACTCTGTGCTTTGTCTTTAATATACTGAGGCATTATGGTGTAAAGTACCAAAGAAATCCTTAGCTGGAAGGACAGAGCTTGGAAAGTACTCAGTGGACTTTTTTCATGTGTGTAATGAACACAAAACTCCAGAGAATGAGTCTGTATCTATTGGATCTAGTATAATATTTTCCCTTGAGGTTTTTGTAAACAAAGATTTTGAGCATTGAAGTTCCTTTTCAGCCTCCTTCCTTTAGCTTATGCACTTCACGGTTTTCATCCTACAGTTTCTTCTTTGCTGTACTTTTTCCTAAAGTTTCTTCTTTTGCAGTGCACATTTTATTCCAGTTCTCCCGAGATTAGTTTTTAAAACAACCACAGAAAAATATCCAAACCACCGGACATTGCTTTTTGAGTCTAGCAGTTAGGCTGCCTCAGAAGCAATAAATCTACAGAAGTAGTTGTCTAATATCACCTGAATATTTTGTTAAAAAAAAGAGGCCCATCCAAACTTGAAATGCAGCATCTATCCCTTCTATTAAAACATTTTCAAGTGCACTTTATGAAATGACAATGAAAACTCTGTAGAAGAAGCTGTTTTCTTGTTACTCCATTTAAAATGATGAAGGCTGCAGCATAGCAAGTGAAAGGGGAACTGCATATTCATATGAGGCATCATTGATTATTGCTGTTGTTGGATGTAAGAAGTCACTGTAGTGCATTTCTCTTTCCCAACTTAAAGAAATAGCTTAAAAATTTATAACTCAAACTAATGTGTGTTTTGGGCACTAAGGTGACTATGTTCATAACAACAGCATTTGTGTGTTTGTGCTGTCAAAGATGATCCTACAGTTAGTTATTACATCCCCAGATTTCATGTCATATTTTAAAGAGAAAGAAATAAACACAGAAGAAATGTTTACTCCTCTTTTTCCTTGTATCCAGAACTAGCTGCCTCTCAAATGATCCAGAAATGACTTCAGTGGAGCAGGAGTAAGAATTTATGCCTAATACTGTCATTACATTTTAACATTACTTTACAACCATGCTGCTAGGAACTGAGGCTGGGTAGACTCCATAAAGCTTTTTTGGAGACCTAAATACTTTTATGGAAATATTCAGAAACTTGATTCAATACATGCAAGCAGAAAACACACTGAAGCCTTATTATATTTTTTCTGTAATTTATTTATATGTATACGGAAGATTGATTATATTTGTATTGCATTGCAAATATGTTTAAAGTGTCCTTGACCATTTCCAAGCAGAGACAGATATAATTCTTAGCCTGAGGATATTCATGTTAAGTTACCTGAAAAACACATAGAAAGAGTGCAGCATGATCAGAGGGAAGATGATCCCATTCATTATGATTAGTTTTGATTGAGGATAAACTTGCCATTCTCACATGGAGATTATAAAGCCTTATATTTTATTCCAATTTCTGGTCCATGCTCTTGATTTCTTCCTTCTCTTTGCTTTTATGCTTCTCAGCTTCTTTCACAGTTATTTTCCTGATCAAATCTTGTCTTTTCCTTTCAAAACTGGTTTTCTTGGAAATGAGAATGTGTTGGTCCTCTGGCATGCTGTTCCTCCCTCTGATACTGTAACTGAAGCATGAAGATAGAAAAGTCTTGCACTGCTCTCACTGTTCATCAGTGGCAGTTTGTAGCTGCAGTGTGTAGCACAAGCAGTAAGAGTTCATTGCTAGAAGTATTGCAGCAGAGTGTGTATTCCTGGGCAGTGTGTACAGGGAAGGAGTGACTGGTGACTTTGCTGTCCCTACCCTTCTGACTGGTGTGCAGAATTACACTGGTGTCTCACCCTGGAATACTGATCAGTAAATATCATGTAGTAAACATGACTCCTCAGTAGAAGATACCATCAATGACATGAGTGTTAATAAGCAGGCAGATTATTAGAAGTACATGCAGCAAACAGATGCCTAAATAAAATGGAGATTTGGATTTCACTTCTGAAAAAATGAAAAGTACTCTAGTAAGCTGTCACAGTATCATGCCTGATACGCAGGTTAGAACCATAAGCTAAATTCCTGATTCCTAGAGTGGTTGACATTATATCTCTGAGCACCTTTTTTGTTCCTCAGACAGTGTTTTATACTGTGATGAGTCAATATGAGAAGTGTTTTTCAAAGCAGAAAAACAGAAAATAACTTCTTAAAGACTATTTGCTTATGATTTTGATCTTTTCGTGGCTTGAAAAATTTTCCTGTTTTTCTTAAAAGATAAGCTGGGCAGCAAAAAGCAATATGAGAAGCGAAATATATTTATCTTAAATATATTTGAGGCTAAATTAATGCTAATTCCTGCTATTTATTTTCTCTGCATAAATATGAGTCTATCTTCATGAGTGGCAGTAATTTTCCTGTGATTATATCCTTCATTTCTTGTGTCATTTCTTCAGGAAATAGGGTTTCCCATGTAAATCCCTCCACACTGAGAACAGCAGTTTTACACAGACTTTTCTTCTGTATGCTTTCTGCTGAAACATCTCTGGAGTCTGCCCAGTTCTTAGTTTCTGTTGTCTTTTTCCTACGATTCCAAAGGCTTTTGTCTATTGTCATGCTCCCTTGTGTTCTATTTTGCACGACATCTTGCATAGTGAAAGAACCCTGTGCATTCTGTAACAGTTCATAAATATTAAGGAAAATTTAAATAGTTATGTATTTTGTAAGGAAAATTGTGTCTTGATGCAACGTTTATGATGACAACTTATTCTAAAGAATGGTGCTAAAGTATTGATGGCATGTGCTTTGCACTAAATAGCAAAATTCGAAACATTTTTAGGGACACCCATATCTTGCCACATTGTTGTGTCATTCCAGCAGTGGATCATCCCATGTTTGGTGTCAGATTGGAGCTGAGGGAAATGTAGCTATTAATTTCAGTAAAACGGTAAAGAACTTAAGGTGTGTACGTCCCATGGATGGTAGATAGGATGTGTGTAAATTATTTCACACCACTGCATTGAAGTAAATGAGAGATGAGGATACTCAACACTTTGTGGGAGCTCAGGATTGGGGAAATGATTAACCACATGTTTCATAGCACTGATTTTTTTTTTTTGTTGTTGTTGTCGTTCTTTGTTTTTTGTCTTTAATAAATAGGATCGACATGACCCTGAAATAAAAAGCATCGTTGCCAGGCATTTGAAGAAGAGGGTTCACTTGGATTTTCATCACCCAGACACCTGCAACAATGGTGTACAATAAAGGATTTGGTCAACTCTAGTTTATTATGTTCCCGTGTTATTCAGCAATTCAAGAAGACCAAAAGGGCCAATCCTGTTGACATGAAAACAGCAGCATTTTTGAACCTAGGTATTTGTGTTGCTTTCAGAAACAATTTTCCTTAGGAAAGCTGTATCATCTAGCATTGGTTTCCATGCGTGTGTGTACCATTTCACCCACAGTGTGCCTCATGAGCAGGTCAGCGAGGATGAGAACCTTTTCATTTTTGTCTTCAGCATATGCATAGCTGAACGGAATAGTTATTGTTACAATACATTCTAGTTTGCTTGTGTCACAGAGCAGCAGCAACTTCAGTGTTTAAAAGTAATTCTAGAAATGATGCAGGACTTTATTGATTTTGACAGGCCAGGTTGGACGGGATTTTGGGCAACCTGGTCAAGTGAAGGGGATTCCTGCCCATCCCTAGATGATCTTTAAGGCTCCTTTTAGCTCAAAGCATTTTGTGCTTCTGTAAATTTGTGTTTCTTCCTTTCTGAAAAGTCTTTCCATGTTCATTTAACCCTCATGACTTTTTTTATTCAGTCAGAGAAAGGACTCATGTACTAAAAAATAATAGTCATCCAACAGACCTCCTGGGGGACAAATGGGTAACTGAAATTAATATAATACTTTAATATCTGTATTTTAGGGATAGTTTTTCTAGAAACAGGTGATCCTGTAAATGATTGTCATATATTCTAGAATTCTTGGCGAATTAATTTGCTGTTTTCAAAATCTGTGAAAATGCTGCTCCTCTATGAAAAATTAGTGCTCTGAATATGAATCAAATAATATTTCCTACTAACAGGTAGAAGTTAAATCTGTAAATCTGCACTCGGGAGTCACTCATTTGTTAGGGGTAGATGTTAAAGTATTGTTTAAAGTTTTCTGATACATAAAAATATAAGTATTGCAATACACTTTGTCACAGAACACAGCAGTAAAAGCATGAAAGGGAAAAAAATCTCTGAACTGTTCTTGTTTGCTGCTGTCCTGTGTACTGGCACAAAAGGCACTGGAGTAAGTTGTCTTTCTTATTGGAAAACACCTGCAGTTTCTCAGACCATGATTTTGCAGGAGTGCAAATTATTTGTCAAGTGAATTCTGCTAAAAAAAAGAAAGTTAAGAATA